ATTCACACAACATTCAGCCTTGATAATGGATGCAGAACGCATTCGAAACGCGTCGGCCAATCACTAGCTACAACTTTTACCTGTTGTTCTAATAACATTAAGACGGCTTATCGACTTCTTGAGAAGAATTCTAAGAAGAAAGTAAACCTACAGACATCGGTCTTGTTTAACAAAATCTGCCTACAAGAAAATCTGTCACCAAAGTACACCAACATTACAGCAATTATATACACTGACAAGTTTGTTAAAAAACATCCTTCTCTGAATTGACTGAACTACTATTAGAAAATACAACAGATCTAAGTTCAATATTAACTATTATCTAATAAATTAAAAAAATCAATCCTCAGGCTTTCTGTAAATAATTTCCAATTCTAAACTTCTGCCTCTTCCCAAGTCTTGCTTTCTATAGTTTTCTTGCAATAACTGCCACCATAGGATAATGTCTGGTACAGACAAACGTAACAGAATAACCACAGCGATGATGTTTTTCATTAGAAAAAGAGATATATCATGATCAAAAGAGGTCCATAAGTAGACTCTAATACCCAGGTAAGGAAGATTTATCAAGAACAAATGTGTAAATTTGTAGAGTAAACCTAAACCTAGAGAAGCTGGCTTCAAACCAAATGCTGAAAGACTTAGCTTGTAAAGTGCTAAAGTTGGAAGAATGAAGTTAATGCAAGAAAGTGCAAGGATTCCATTTGACATAGCTAAAGGAAGCACAAGTTGAGATTGATTTGTAAACAGAATTCCAAGAAAGGTAACACTGTCAAAGATTTCAAAAGTAGTGTTGGTTGAAAGTAAGCTGATGTAAGACTGACGAGCAGAACGGGAGTCTGAACCATGATGGCTCTCCACAAGCAGAAGAAAGACAACAGCTGAAGCAGCTAGAAGAAGTTTTAAAAGCTGAGGACTGAACTGAGATGACATTTCTAACTTTTGGGCAATCTCTAGTTTTAACAGAAGTATCACTTTGGTGATAAGCAAAGACGAATACAAAATCCACACCATGTAACAAGAAGGTAGCATTCCTTTCCAACCAAATGACTGAAGAGTTTGTGAACTTTCATCTTGGCTATTTGTAGCATGTCTCAACTTAGCCTGAAATTATAAAAAGAGATCATACTTATTGGAAACATCATGTTTTAACACATCTTTAAACTCTATGATGGTATCATCAAACTATCTTCACTAATGTCTATATATCTAGAACAAACATGCTGAAAAACACACATGTTAAATTATTTTTGTTGGTTAGATTTTAATCACAGTGGAGGGATAACATAAACAGAATGAACAGTCTAGTTCAGTAAAAGTACTTGTGTGAAGATATACAAAATAAAAACAAAAGTTTACAATAAAAATGATTCAGAGTTTAAAAAATGTCTAACCAATATTCAAAAATCTAACCATTTTTGTGTTGAAACGATACGCTGCAACAACTGCCGCCATAAAGATGATTAAGATAAGAAAATCAGCCAAAAACCAGAAGTACCATCCAGCAGATCCCTGGTTGTTGAGTATTAAAAGATAGTTAAGCATACTACCTTGGACAACCAATACTAAAAGAAGTAGAATTCCATCAAGAATTTGAGTAAAAAGGTGAACTTTACATCTTCCACATGATGCAGTTTGAGTCATATCTGTAAAACCTAAAATACAGAAGCAAACATTAAAAAAATAACTATGAAAGACTTCTGAAGTAATTTATTGATTATTTCTTCATCTATGTCATTGACATAAATCAAAAAGAGTAAAGGTCCTAACAATGAGCTCTGAGGTTCCTCGCATGTGGCATTAATCCAATTTGATTGAACTCCATTTATACCAAATGTTTTTTCCATCCAGCCAGTTTTCTATCCAATGAACTAGACCATCCCCTATATCTGCAGAGATAGTTTTTAACAAGCCTTTTATGTGGCACCTTGTCAAATGTTTCTGAAAATTTAGATATACCAAAGTCACATCCTTACCCTCATCTACATAGCAGTAACCTCTTCAAAGAACGTCAAAAGATCAGTAAGGTAAGATTTTGCCCACTTCTAACCCATTTTACTATATCTCCTGCTCTGTCAGTTATATCCCGGGATAACATAACCTATATCTTTTCTCCATTTTTCCCCCCACAGACTATCTTGTCCATGCATCGTATTAAAGAATCATTTATAGGCATAACTTCCATATGTTTCAGTCCTTCTCTATTCTTTCTTTTCCTTATCTATAGAAGCTAAAGGTTGAAATCTGTTACTTAATAGAACCTGCTTATTACAATTAAATCCACTATTACTATATTTACTGTTTCTAACTTCATAAAAGTTATTATTAGCTACTGTCTCTTTTGTATGTTGCCATTTCCCACGAACGAACAAATAATATAACAGAAAAGATCTACCTTTTTTGGGGGGAATAAGACCCCCATATACACTTTGTTGTGCCGGCAATTCCCCTGTAATTATTGATACAACTACAGTAAGAAGATATTTACACAAGAAAATATGGTATGTATAGTACAAAATAACAAAAAATATAGAATAAAACAAACACAAAGTAACAATTCTAACAATTAGGTCATGATGTACCTACTCACAATCTATAAAGAATCATATGAAATTTACCATTTCACATTTCTTTTGATGTGGTACAACAATGTCTGGCATACCCCACCATCCTCTTCTTGAGCAAGAAGAAAAGGTGGTCTTTCACATTTATAAAGCATTTGGAAAATAAAAAACTATTTTTTCTACAATTTCCGTCTCTATATGTGGAAACAGCTCAGTTCAATTCAAATAGATAACACTGAAACTCTTGTACATATACAATCCTTTGCCAGCATGCCAGTAACTTACATTCATTACCTAGTACTTGATATATATTACAAGGATCACTCTCAAAGTCTGGCCAGCTTGCTAGTAACTTACTTTCATTACTTAGTACTTAAAATATATTAGAAGGATCACTCTTAAAGTCTGTAAGCTAGTAACAATGGTGTCACTTCAAAGGAGACAATGCCTCTCATCCTTCCTAAAAATTAGAAAATAATCAGAGGCTACTGGGATAGTATTAATATAATGATACATTTCTTCAATTGATTATTAGTAAATCTTTTCATTCGTAATAATTTTTCTCACTGCTAGAACACAAATGAAATCAGTGGTAATTATTAAAACTGGAATATGCTAAAGATCTATATCAAGGTTATCAACTTCAGATACCTTGGTATCTTCTGATGAAAAACCCTAACAATTCACACTAATGTTTGGTTAGCATAAGAAAATCATATTGTGTGTGTGTGCAGCACTTAGAATGGCTATTTGTGTTTATCAATAAATTCTGATACAAGCTAACTATATGGATCAAAGCTGAAAAATAAAACATAGTAAAGAATGCAGCCAATTTGATATACCGGTCTAACTAGAGTTATATATTGTTATACAACAAAACTTATGACAATTAAAATGAACTGATTCATCAGTTGTGATCTCTCAATGTTATGGATATGCTTAAGCATGAAACCAAAGCAAAAAAATGTGAAGGTAACAACCAAGCTTTTCACACATTTGCATGAGGGTTTTTGTGCAAGCCAAGAATTTAAACTGTTTAAGAAGCATAAGGATCCCTTAGAAAAAGTATGCATGAACAGGTGGTAGCTTTTGAATGGTGGGAATGGCATAAGACAATTAATGCAAGTGTTAAGTTGATTTTTATACATACAGCGATATTACTAATATACATATTTATGTGTGGATAGCCTTGATATCCTACTTAGATGAACGTTCTTCTATGAATATAATTTAATCTATGGTACATGAACCTGCTACTGCTAGCTTTTCCTGACGTTTGATCAATTGAAATCCAAGTTTATAACATCTGGACCAATTGTTCAGAGATAGATTACGATTCAAATTATATTTTCCTAATATGTCATAAACTTCAATCACAAACATAAACAAGGGAGCGAGAATTAGGGGTGTTGAGGGTGCAATAGCACCCCTGACATATATAGGAGGTGCTGCACGTGCTGCATCGTATAGAACTTAGACTCTTAGAATTACTAATACTATTAATATTACGTAAAGTACAAGAAAACGAAAACAAATCAAACTCTGCAACTGTGGGTTATACATACAGCTTAATACTTACAAACAGAAATAATGAAAAGTTGAAAGAACGTTTGAAACACAAATTTTTCAATAATTATACAATTTTTAAACAAAGTAGTGCGTGCAACGCCGGTGGTAAACAAATATTTAAGCGCCCTCTAACATTTCTTTCCAAATAGGGACCGCTACAAAATTAAGGTGTTAAAAGACACGTCAAAAGGAGAAAACAATCCACTGTCAAATGCATTTCGGTAATATTTGCTCTAGGTATATATATATTACTTATAGAAGAGAAAATGTGCAGTAGTTATAGAAATGGAATACGAAAGCTAAAACAATAAATTTTACTTATGCACTACGCTACAAGCCCTGTGTTTCCTCTGAATCCGAAGTAATCAAAATAATGGTTGATGGTAACTAAACGTGAAAAAAAAAAAAATTTTGTTACGTATCTGCTTGTTTATTAATTTCCGGTAGAAATTCTTTCAGAGGAACTTCAGCGATAAGCCCTTTCTTGATTAAACCAGTTTATTCTTTCTCGATACAAGCTTTTAGTACACAGTAATTCCACAGTAAATACGTTTCTCCTCACTTTCAACTTAACGACTTTTATTATACACGCTATAAATCATCGCGATTCACAATCTCGATAACTTCGCTCTCTACGAGTGCATAACACACACTAGCTCGAAACAGAATCGTAAGTTACCCGAAACTCACCGTGACTACTGTTCGCTTTATCATAGATCCATCATCCACCGGCTTTTCTCTGCCAGTCTTATATACTAACAAAGAGGCGTCTCCAACATTCGAGGAGTTCCCTGATAATTCGAGAAACTCAGTCACGCATGCGCCAGCAGCGTCACGTGACTTCCGCTGTCGTAACAATATCCACCTCAAAACGTATATTTCAAAGCAAGCTCATTTTAAACCTGGAGGGGTTTTTTCATAAAATCATTGAAGCATGAGCAAGCTAACATTTCTAGCGTTGTAAGTTCATAGATATACTACTGTGCCACTGAGGGGCAATAAGGATCTCCATTTTTTTTCTTTATTATTATTTAATATTGTTCCGCCAGCAAAAATGGCTGTGCATTTTGTAATTAAACCTGAACAATATTACTAAAGGCATCATTACTCATTGTGTAGGGTAATTTTTACGTTTATATAACTAGGTAGCAAATAACAGCGGGTGTATAACCATTGACACCCAATCATTTTAATGTATTCTGTGGTTTATATGGAACTTCATAATCTAAAATATATGCATACGTATACCACTGCGTGCAGGCCGTGGATGTAATTTAATGTTTATATGGTAGACACAACACACGAACCATAGCGATTATTTAATTGACGTCGCGTATCATTTCTTTAATTATATGGTTCCTGCCCTTTCGGACACGACGCTGCTGACAGGATCACAGTTTGTTTTTGTTGTTTTTTTACCACTGCATGATCGATTTCGGCCATGTTATACCAACGTCTAGACTGTCTCCCACAACATAAATATTTAAGCCATAGTTTAAAAGATAGCACCAAGCTCAGTTTCAAGCATCGGATCGGCAATCACGGTGATAGCTGATGGTAAGTGTCGAATTATAACCAACACTGCGTGATTGCAAATTTTGATACATGCTACAGATAGAATAGCCATCTTTGAAACAGACTATAAGCTAAAATCGAGCAGCAGGATATGGAGAAAATGATGGCGATTCTAGGTGGATGTGAGGTAGAAATTTTGAAGCTATATATTTTATTTAGAAAATATTTAGTTTCAGATAAAATATGCAGCAGCGACAGTCCACCAGAGTTTAAGGTCGTCACAATAGGAGGGGTTTGTAGAAGTCTCACGACCCAAACTCCATCAGAAATGGAGAAGGAAAAGGTATATTAATTCATAATTAATACGTTTTCATCCTTGTAGAGTGGCAGAATGTCACTCTAAGATAACATCTGGCCATCTCCAGCAAAACCGTGACCGGCCTTAATATCGTCAGCGGAGAGGACGAAGAGGAAGGGGAAAATATATCAGCTATAAGTGACATTAAAAATGCTTATTTGTATACATATCCTATTATATTATGACACATTGTCTTATGCTTGCATTGAATATGTATGCAATCATCTATATAACTTGAAAATTTCATATGGCTCTCTATATATACGGCTTTACAACTTAAAAAGCTATAAAGCCTACATGCATATATAATATGTACGTTTATATAGATATAAATACTATCCAACATGCATCGCATGTGTATGCATGTATAAAACTGATGCGGTTACAAAATTCAGTCCATGTACCGTTTCAGTATAGTTCATTAGTCCTTCTAATCCAGTATTTACAGAGTCCCCATATAGGTACAGGGTATAAATATAGTAGATATATATCTTTTACAAACATATACATAACATGTGGTATGTTGATCACCGTGCATCATGGTGATCATACATACAGTAATACTATCAATGATAACATTGGGGCAATGATATCAGGATTAATAGCCATTCAATCTGCATGAAGCCAATCCAAAGGATGTCATTGTTTCCCGAGAGAACATCATACACCAACAATGTATTTCATTAAACTAAGTTGTTTCAAATAGGACAGTATTGCTATTATACAAACTTATGTCCATCATGCACATAAAAATACTAAAGAAACAAGATTACTAAAAACTGTTAATTTAAAAAGGGGGAATAGGGATCTTCAAAAAAATACAGAAACAATATAGATAGCTTAAAATGAAAATGCAATCGGCAAAAAAGTAAACAAACGAGGTTAAGGTTTGAGACATAGCGTTGACATTATTTCCTCGATCTACAAATCGCCATTTTGACTCCATATCTAAAAGCTATAATATTTAGGAAAATCAAAATAGGGATTTGTATCTTGAGGAAATAATGTCATCACTATGTCTCAAACCTTAAACTTGTTCGTCCACTTTTTTGGCGAATGCATTTTCACTTTAAGCTATCTATATTGTTTTTGAATATATTGAAGATCCCTATTACCCCGTTTTAAATTAATAGTTTTTAATAATCATTTACAAAATATAAATCAAGTCGTAAACAGAGATCATGGGTAGTATAAAAAACTAAAGTTAGATGTATTTGTTTGTTGTTAAGCACAAAACTACACTATAGGTTATTTGTGTTATGCCCACCGCGAGTATAGAAATCCGATTGTTAGTATTACAAACCCTCAGGTTTACGGCTTTGGAGCAACTGGGGAGTAGAATTAAATGTAACAATTATAATAAATGTTACCGCATCTATGAAAAATATTGTACTGTGCAGTAATGTTCCACTATTATTATTTTCTATATTGCTTTTGTGCTACTTCAGTAAATATCTGAATAATGTAAACATTTGTAAATATTTATTAGTCTAGCCTTCAGAAATAACCAAAGTAAGAATATTAATACTTACAGGGGGCTTCTAATGGACGTCCCAAGTATAGGTTCGTTATCATGGTTAGTAGATACGATCACCTACGTCTCTAACTAAGAATTGCATATTTTTTCCATTACTGCATACTAATTACAAGCTACTTTATATCGTACTTGTCAGTTGTTAATTTGGTATAGTCTTCAGGGAAGTCCGGAGAAAGACTGTGTTTGTGATGTTAATGGCTGAGATTCAATCCTGGGTCATCTTGATGGGAATACTGGTGTGTTATTTACTCTTCCCACTATAATATATACTGATCAGAAGAATTGTCCTCAGACATTTAAAGAAGTTCTACTAGAATAAAAAGGTAATGTTGCTATAATTATTGAAAAAGAAGAATATGCCATCAAGATCCAATTATTGTTGACGATGGCCACTAAATGAAGATCAAGTCCAACCCAACAGCTAATACAGAGAGAGAGAAATAATAATAAAGTACCAAAGAAACATCAGAAATAACTTAGAAATGGTCAAACAACTAATAGTACCACAAGAGTATAGCCCAACACATCTATGAAGCAGCCAAACAACTAACAGTACCACTAAAGTACAAACATATCCATGAAATAGTCAAATAAATAACAGTATACTAGATTACGAACACATCTATGAAATAGTCAAACAAGTAACAGTACCAATAGAGTACCACCCAACACATGTATGAAATAGTAACACAAATAATAATTCCACTAGAGTACCACCCAACACACCTGTGAAATAGTCACATAACTAATAGTACCACTACAGTACCACCCAACACATCTGTGAAATAGTCACACGACCAATAGTACCACTACAGTACCACCCAACACATGTATGAAATAGTAACACAAATAATAGTTCCACTAGAGTACCACCCAACACACCTGTGAAATAGTCACATAACTAATAGTACCACTACAGTACCACCCAACACATCTGTGAAATAGTCACACAACCAATAGTACCACTACAGTACCACCCAACACATCTGTGAAATAGTCACACGACCAATAGTACCACTATGCCATCTCTTAGTGAAATATCTTGTAGACATAATATCAGTATAAACATGTTAAGTACTCAGCCCACTTTATAAAAATTATAAAATACACTGTTAGAACCTCACAAGACACAATGTTCAACTTTTATATATCCTGCTAATTCATTAATGAATCAACCCTTGAAACATTCCATATACTCCGCCAGTAGCTTGAAAATGTTAGAACTTTTTATTAAGAACTGCACACTACTGACAATTTCACGATAAAGAATTCATAACTTTCTGTATCAACACAACTTATTTTCAGTATCACGATAAATACTACCAACAATAAGAGAGCCTAACTATATTCTCACCCCTTACCAGTATTCAGTAACCTTTACATGAAACATTTTGCAGTTAATGTCCTCAAAGCTTCTTCTGTAATCTTCGTTTGATGAGGCACACAACAAACAAAATTCCAGAATTCATGAATTATCTGAAAAACAACATTCAACAATAAAATTCACAATGAAAATATAAAAATACAACCAACTCCCATTCATAGACGTGATGGTTAACAAGACACATATGTTATACCAAAAGAGGATTTGTATATGTGGACTCTGAGCTTTTATAGTCAAATTGGCTGGCCTCATATTTTACCGCACACGCAGTTTCTCTGTAAGTAATTCTGCTCTAT